CATTTTGTAAGTTATTAAAAAAAAGAAATATATATATATATATATTTTATACTTTTTATGAATATTTTCTTGTCCTAAAATAAGAATGCATTTTTATGTGCTGTGTGATTTATGCCTTTTCATTATTATATAATACTGTTTTTATATGATAACTAATTATCGTAATTGTATTCCACATGTATGGATGTGTGAAAATATAAAGAATGGTTTACAGTGTATACAAAATTTGTGTTAGCAAGGAAACTAAGAATACTAGTAATGTATTAATGAAGGGGGAAAAAAAAGATGAATGCATTATGCTGAATTTAACATGGTAGAATGGTATACTATTTCCTTTATGCATGTGTGTGTTTGAAATGTACAGGTTTGCAAATGTGCTTATTTCTTATGACCAGTTTCTAAGAGGATGAAATGAGAAGTGCATGTGGAAGTGGTGTAGATATGCATCACCTGTTCATAATTTGTGTATCTGTGATGTACAAGTGTTACAATTCCTACCCAAACTGAAATCCTCGCCATCAAAGGCCCCCCCCCCCATCCCTTCTAAGGAGACTGTTATTTGCCTAGCTGCCCCTCTCACATTGGTGAGGCTCTAATGAGAATGGGACTTTCCGGGGAGGAGGCAGAGAGGTGACAGGCACTAGGATGAAGATAACCCAGTCCAAGAGACAGGCCCAAAGTAACACAGACCAACTGGGACCGAGATCATTAAATACCAGGCCACTAGAATCATGTTAGAACACCAAAACCCCCAAGCAAGAATATTAACCAGGGCATATTGAAGACCACAGCCATCAGCCAGGGCATATTGAAGACCACAGCCATCAGCCAGGGCATGTTGAAGACCACAGCCATCAGCCAGGGCATGTTGAAGACCACAGCCATCAGCTAGGGCATATTGAAGACCACAGCCATCAGCCAGGGCATGTTGAAGACCACAGCCATCAGCCAGGGCATGTTGAAGACCACAGCCATCAGCTAGGGCATATTTAAGACCACAGCCATCAGCCAGGGCATGTTGAAGACCACAGCCATCAGCCAGGGCATGTTGAAGACCACAGCCATCAGCCAGGGCATGTTGAAGACCACAGCCATCAGCCAGGGCATGTTGAAAACTACAGCCATCAACTAGGGTATGCTGAAGACCACAGCCATCAACCAGGGCATGTTGAAGACCACAGCCATCAGCCAGGGCATGTTGAATATCGCAGCCATCAGCCAGGGCATGTTGAAGACCACAGCCATCAGCCAGGGTATGTTGAAGACCACAGCCATCAGCCAGGGCATGTTGAAGACCACAGCCATCAGCCAGGGCATGTTGAAGACCACAGCCATCAGCCAGGGCATGTTGAAGACCACAGCCATCAGCCAGGGCATGTTGAAGACCACAGCCATCAGCCAGGGCATGTTGAAGACCACAGCCATCAGCCAGGGCATGTTGAATATCGCAGCCATCAGTCAGGGCATGTTGAATACGCAGCCATCAGCCAGGGCATGTTGAATATCGCAGCATCAGCCAGGGCATGTTGAATATCGCAGCCATCAGCCAAGGTATATTGAAGAGCCATCAGCCAGGGCATGTTGAAGACACAGCCATCAGCCAAGGTATATTGAAGACCACAGCCATCAGCCAGGGCATGTTGAAGACCACAGCCATCAGCCAAGGTATATTGAAGACCACAGCCATCAGGGTATGTTGAAGACACAGCCATCAGGGCATATTGAAGACCACAGCCATCAGCCATATTGGACCACAGCCATCAGAGGTAGATGAAGACAGCCATCAGCCAGGGTATATTGAAGAAGACCACAGCCATTAGCCAGGGCATGTTGAAGACCACAGCCATCAGCCAGGGCATGTTGAAGACCACAGCCATCAGCCAAGGTATATTGAAGACCACAGCCATCAGCTAGGGCATATTGAAGACCACAGCCATCAGCCAGGGCATGTTGAAGATCACAGCCATCAGCCAAGATATATTGAAGACCACAGCCATCAGCCAGGGCATATTGAAGACCACAGCCATCAGCCAGGGCATGTTGAAGACCACAGCCATCAGCCAAGGCATATTGAAGACCACAGCCATCAGCCAGGGCATGCTGAAGACACAGCCATCAGCCAAGGTATATTGAAGACCACAGCCATCAGCCAGTGTATGTTGAAGAAGACCACAGCCATCAGCCAGGGCATGTTGAAGACCACAGCCATCAGCCAGGGCATGTTGAAGACCACAGCCATCAGCCAGGGCATGTTGAAGACCACAGCCATCAGCCAGGGCATGTTGAAGACCACAGCCATCAGCCAGGGCATGTTGAAGACCACAGCCATCAGCCAGGTATGTTGAAGACCACAGCCATCAGCCAGGGCATGTGAAGACACCAGCATCAGCCAGGGCATGTTGCCATCAACTTGGGTATGCTGAAGACCACAGCCATCAACCAGGGCATGTTGAAGACCACAGCCATCAGCCAGGGCATGTTGAAGACCACAGCCATCAGCCAGGGCATGTTGAAGACCACAGCCATCAGCCAGGGCATGTTGAAGACCACAGCCATCAGCCAGGGCATGTTGAAGACCACAGCCATCAGCCAGGGCATGTTGAAAACTACAGCCATCAACTTGGGTATGCTGAAGACCACAGCCATCAACCAGGGCATGTTGAAGACCACAGCCATCAGCCAGGGCATGTTGAAGACCACAGCCATCTGCCAGGGCATGTTGAAGACCACAGCCATCAGCCAGGGCATGTTGAAGACCACAGCCATCAGCCAGGGCATGTTGAAGATCACAGCCATCAGCCAGGGCATGTTGAAGACCACAGCCATCAGCCAGGGCATGTTGAAAACTACAGCCATCAACTTGGGTATGCTGAAGACCACAGCCATCAACCAGGGCATGTTGAAGACCACAGCCATCAGCCAGGGCATGTTGAATATCGCAGCCATCAGCCAGGGCATGTTGAAGACCACAGCCATCAGCCAGGGCATGTTGAAGACCACAGCCATCAGCCAGGGCATGTTGAAGACCACAGCCATCAGCCAGGGCATGTTGAAGACTACAGCCATCAGCCAGGGCATGTTGAAGACCACAGCCATCAGCCAGGGCATGTTGAAGACCACAGCCATCAACCAGGGCATGTTGAAGACCACAGCCATCAGCCAGGGCATGTTGAATATCGCAGCCATCAGCCAGGGCATGTTGAATATCGCAGCCATCAGCCAGGGCATGTTGAATATCGCAGCCATCAGCCAGGGCATGTTGAATATTGCAGCCATCAGCCAAGGTATATTGAAGACCACAGCCATCAGCCAGGGCATGTTGAAGACACAGCCATCAGCCAAGGTATATTGAAGACCACAACCATCAGCCAGGGTATACAGCCATCAGCCAAGGTATATTGAAGACCACAGCCATCAGCCAGGGCATGTTGAAGACACAGCCATCAGCCAAGGTATATTGAAGACCACAGCCATCAGCCAGGGCATGTTGAAGACACAGCCATCAGCCAAGGTATATTGAAGACCACAGCCATCAGCCAGGGCATATTGAAGACCACAGCCATCAGCCAAGGTATATTGAAGATCACAGCCATCAGCCAGGGTATATTGAAGAAGACCACAGCCATTAGCCAGGGCAAAGACCAAAACCCACGAGACAACTTTTGGAACGTCGCCGAGGTGTCGATGCTATATGTAACCAACAGAGGATTTTCCCCCTATTGGAGACCTCCAGACTTCGTTTGATTTCAGTAGAAAGTCGGTTGTAAAATTTAAAATTCGCCGGTGGTTGCGTATGCGGCTTGGCATTGTCTTGGTCGTAGGTTTGCTTCCACCTCGCTGCCCTACTGGATTTATTATTATTATTATTATTATTATTATTATTATTATTATTATTATTATTATTATTATTAATTATTAATCGGAAGATGACCAAACGTTTCAGTCTGTCCTGGACCACAAACGTCGGACCATTATCAAGATGGAGAGCCAGCGACAACATTTCAGTCTCGGTCCTGGACCATTATCAAGTCATCGGTCCGTCATGGACCATTATCAAGACCATTATCAAGTCATCGGTCCGTCATGGACCATTATCAAGTCATCGGTCTGTCATGGACCATTATCAAGTCATCGGTCCATCATGGACCATTATCAAGTCATCGGTCTGTCATGGACCATTATCAAGTCATCGGTCCGTCATGGACCATTATCAAGTCATCTGGGCCATTATCAAGTCATCGGGTCATGGACCATTATCAAGTCATCGGTCCGTTGGACCATATCAAGTCATCGGTCCGTCATGGACCATTATCAAGTCATCGGTCCGTCATGGACCATTATCAAGTCATCGGTCCGTCATGGACCATTATCAAGTCATCGGTCCGTCATGGACCATTATCAAGTCATCGGTCCGTCATGGACCATTATCAAGTCATCGGTCCGTCATGGACCATTATCAAGTCATCGGTCCGTCATGGACCATTATCAAGTCATCGGTCCGGTCTGGGCCATTATCAAGTCATCGGTCCGTCATGGACCATTATCAAGTCATCGGTCCGTCATGGACCATTATCAAGTCATCGGTCCGGTCTGGGCCATTATCAAGTCATCGGTCCGTCATGGACTATTATCAAGTCATCGGTCTGTCATGGACCATTATCAAGTCATCGGTCCGTCAAGGACCATTATCAAGTCATCGGTCCGTCATGAACCATTATCAAGTCATCGGTCCGTCATGGACCATTATCAAGTCATCGGTCCGTCATGGACCATTATCAAGTCATCGGTCCGGTCTGGGCCATTATCAAGTCATCGGTCCGTCATGGACTATTATCAAGTCATCCGTCCGGTCTGTACTATTATCAAGTCATCGGTCCGGTCTGGACTATTATCAAGTCATCGGTCCGTCTTGGACCATAATCAAGTCAGTCCGTCCTGGACCATAATCAAATCGTCGGTCCGACTTGGACCATTGTCATGTAATAACCCTGCCTTCTCTACCCTTACTCTCCACTCAGTACCCCAGCTTAATACTGCTTGCAGCTCAGTATGACCACTCACTGAGTTACCGTGAATATAAGCTGAAATATTAAATGAGGAGGAATAGGGATTATTACCTTGAAACTAATAATTAAAAAACTCATTAAACACTGGCACCACCTCCCTGACCATTTGAATGTGTGTAACTTACTGATTCCCCAGGAAGGAAGGGAATCAATAATCATGAACTCAAGGGCAATAGAATCTTGGTAAATAAACCTTGGAATTAATAATGTAATCTTTACTTTATTGATTGAGGATTCAAGGGCAACTCTAATATCCATAAAATAAAAGAACACGGGGAATTTCTAGCCCAGCTGGGACCTAGTGTTCCACTCCCCCCCTGTGGCAACTGCCCACCACAGCATATCTCTGGATCCTTAAAATCTAAAGAAAAATAGACAAAAAAATTTTTATTAAAAAAAATTTGTCCACAGACATGTCTCTTAATCACATAAATACACTGGATACGAGTTTCTAAAACTCCTAATATCCAGAGTTCTTACTCAAGTCTACAGCAACAGCGGGTGAACACATTTTCCAGACTGTACAACACCCTGTTGTTCAATAAGTTCCGCAAAATATAATTAAAAATATATATATATAAACATCAGTTTCTAGGATCTAGTAAATTCTAGATAAAGTTCCTCACTGATCCACGTTTCTAGAGAACCTACTTGATGGTTTTCAACCAATTCAACCATAACAACTTATCTAGAGACAGGGTACTTTTCTAGTAACAAATTTCTAGATGTTCACTTTCTAGATTTATTTCTCTATTTCACTAGTTCTAGTTTTCAACATTTACTAGGGTTCCAGAGTCACTTTCCGAAGATGTACAGATGTTTTACTATCAGATGGAAAATTAAAAGTTGAACTAACTGTTCTGAGTTAACACCATTTACTATTTAATATCATTTATTTTTATATGAAACTTTTTCTAAGATTTCTATAGTTCTTTCCTGGTGACATTTCGTTGAGCTGTAGATTCCGGCGACTACCTCATGTTGCTTGAAGACCTCTGGAAGTTTCATTTCCGGCCTCTGCCAAACTAAGTACAGGGGTCTCGTACTTCCCTCACCTGGCTGAGTGACAGCTGACAGCTGGCGGCTGTCAGCTCAGGTGGACCCCGCTAACAAGAACACGGGTTCACCTCTTCCTAGCGCTTCCAAACAGTTTTTTTTTAGTTTAGTTCATTTTAAATTCATTCAATTGAAGTTCATTCATATCATAGCCCATACCCATCCCGTGGGCGGTAGTGGAAAGGGTTACAGAGGCACATAATGGGCTCAGGGACTGAACCCCACAATTCATTTAGCTAAGCAAGTTACAATCTTGATGAGCTAGTTACAAAATTTAATATAAGTCGTCACATCAACAATGGGTTCGAGATCGACCTCAAGTACATCCACCGCTGCCCACTGGATGGGGGGCGGTGTGCAAGACAAGCATATAAATTGTGACACTAGCTCTCCACATATGTCAGTTGCCAAACAGTCATGATGAATTTTCGTTAATCATGGCTGCCACAGTAGAGCAGAGCTTCGACGTGTCACGATGTCTCGCGTTGGTAGTGAGTTTCGAGTGGCGTTGAAGCTAGAGGATGGCATGGTGACAGGACAGGTGGGCCCTGCCTCAGCTAGATGGGCGATGACATCTACCGGCGTTTACTTGTTATCCCGATACTACTGGGCCGGTACACCTTCCGTGCAACCCCTCGTGCAGCTGAGCTTGGGCCGAAGTACAGGGTTGTACCTCATCAGGTGATTCAGCAGCACTCTGTAGGGGGTAGTGCTGTTCGTACCCGAGACCGCCGTGTTGCATCTTGGTTTCCACAGACGACGCAACCGCAGGTTATAAGAGAGCTGACAAGTCGTTGCAATTAGCGTACTTGTTCGTAGACCACTCGTCTTCCACTTCCGGTTTTCCCGCAGTCTTGACGACGCTGCTGGTGGGCTTGGTTGGTGACCTTGAGACAGCTTGCCCACGGTGATGTGACGTTGACTCCATGGGCTCTGCTCCGTAAAGACAACATGGCTGGACCGGGACAACCTCGTTAGTGACTTGAGGTGTCGGCCGGGTGACTGTACTCCAGTCACCCGTTCCGGGTAACTTATTGACGAGTTATAGGGTACAAGGGGGAGGACTTTATGGGAACAGAGAGAGCCAAAGAGAGGGACTGCCTAGCCTCCTGATGGCTCACTGAACTAAGGGAAACTTGACTTCAAACCGTTATGACCAGGGAGGGTCAGACTGTGACAAATGGGAAGAGAGGAGGAACAAGGGAGAGTAAGATGAGGAAGGCAAGGGAAGAGAGGTGAAAGGGGAGAGGGGGAGAGCCATGATCTGTACAGATCATTACAATCAAGTCGTCGGTCCTACCTTGACCATTATCAAGTCGTCGGTCCTACCTGGACCATTATCAAGTCGTCGGTCCTACCTTGACCATTATCAAGTCGTCGGTCCTACCTTGACCATTATCAAGTCGTCGGTCCTACCTTGACCATTATCAAGTCGTCGGTCCTACCTTGACCATTATCAAGTCGTCGGTCCTACCTGGACCATTATCAAGTCGTCGGTCCTACCTTGACCATTATCAAGTCGTCGGTCCTACCTTGACCATTATCAAGTCGTCGGTCCTACCTTGACCATTATCAAGTCGTCGGTCCTACCTGGACCATTATCAAGTCGTCGGTCCTACCTGGACCATTATCAAGTCGTCGGTCCTACTTTGACCATTATCAAGTCGTCGGTCCTACCTTGACCATTATCAAGTCGTCGGTCCTACCTTGACCATTATCAAGTCGTCAGTCCTACCTTGACCATTATCAAGTCGTCGGTCCTACCTTGACCATTATCAAGTCGTCGGTCCTACCTGGACCATTATTAAGTCGTCGGTCCTACCTGGACCATTATCAAGTCGTCGGGTTACCTGGACCATTATCAAGTTGTCGGTCCGTCCTGGACCATAATCAAGTCGTCGGTCCTACCTGGACCATTATTAAGTCGTCGGTCCGTCCTGGGCCATAATCAAGTCGTCGGTCCTACCTGGACCTACCTTGACCACTTTGATACACCGAGCCCGGGACCTCCCCACTACCTCAGATGGGCTTGGGTGTTCCGCGGGAGCGCGAGGGAGAGCGCGGTAAATTCTGAAAAGTTTTTAATCTTTTCAACTTTGTCAGCTCAATTCTCGTCCTAAGATATCCAATTGGGTATCAATATGTTCGCAATAGAATTCTCTACGGGACTAAATGCATATAAACTCCAAAAGCCCGGCTTACCATCCGCAACTAACAGAGAAAGTGAGAGAAAGTTACCCGGGAGCGCACAAGAGTGATAAAATGTTTACACTCTTTTCAGTTGTGTCAACTCAATTCTCGTCTTAGGTCTTTCATTTTGGTATCAATGTGTTCGCAATTGAATTCCCAACAGGCCTATATGCATATAATATAAAAAACAGCAGCGATCTCCAACCCCCCCCCCACACATGATGAAAACAGGCTGCGGTTACAAGAAAGAGTGCTGCGCCACCACAATTAAGGCGGTTTTCTCTATGAAAAGTGAATATTCTTTTCAACTTTGTCATTTCAATTCTCGTCCTAGGTTTTTCAATTTGGTATCAATGTGTTCGCAATCGAATTCTCTTGTAGCGAGTAAACCTATACTCGCTCCATTATCTCATCATCTTAATGGCATAACTAATTACACAAGCTATAATCCTATCCATATTTACAGGTAACGGTTTTTCCACCCTCCTATCTTACTGTGAGGTGTAGTAACCGTATATAAGCCAGCGATTTGAGAATAGCAAACGGGAGACATCTCCCGTCACGCAGGGTGCAGTCGCACCTTCACAGATCTCCAGTATCATCTATTGATACTGGTGATGGGTCAAAAGGGCCACCTCTTACGAGCTACTCATGCCCGTGCCACCTTTTGGGTGGCTTCATCTTCATCTTAACACATTCACAAGGGAGACATCTCCCGTCACGCAGGGTGCATTCGCACCTCCACTGATCTCCAGTATCAGCTCTTGATACTGGTAATGGCTCAAAAGGGCCACCACTTACGGGCTATTCATGCCCGTGTCACCTTTTGGGTGGCTTAATCTTCATCAATCAGAATAGCAAACCAGTACAATCTCCAGTCAAGAATGTAGCACTCTGCGTAGGCAGTTCTAATCGACCCAAGACGCTACAGCTTCAACACAGAGCAGGCAGCAGACTAGGACCACATCCAGCTACAACGCTCTCCCACATAGAGCTCCGTGACTCCGGCCTCACTCAGCTCTCTGCTCTGCTCCAGGCTTCGTCTCAACGTCTACGACACTGCTGTATCCATGACTACTAAATAAATATGAAACTCACTAAACACTGTGTATCTAATCAACCCAACAACGTAACATAATCGTACGTTACACTCTACAGGACTAAATGCATATAAAGCCAAAAAGCCCGGCGAGAAAGTGAGAGCGTGTTACCCAGGAGCGAGCCAGAGCAATAAAATGTGTACACTCTTCACTTTGGACATTTCAATTCTCGTCTTAAGTATTTCATTTTGGTATCATTGTCTTCACAATAGAATTCCCTACAGGAGTATGCAAATATAAAGTCCAAAAGCCCGCCGTACCATCCACAACACGCAGGGAAAGTGACAGAGCGTTACCCCCGTGAGCACTAATAAAGAGCAATAAAATGGGTATTCTGTTTTCAACTTTGTTACCTCAATTCTGGTCCTAGGACTTTAATTTTGGTATCAATGTATTCGCAATGAAATTCCCTAGAAGAGTATATGCACATAATGTCCAAAACCGCAGCAAGACCTTCCCGAAAAAAAACGCTACTGTTGCCGCACTTCGGACTCAATGCTGAGTCCTCGCTGGACTTGCCCCTATTTTGTGGAGGATTCAATGGTGAGTCGTCGCCGGGCGAAAATGATAATTTATTAATTAAATATTAAATTAAGTCGTCGGTCCGTCCTGGACCATGATCAAGTCGTCGGTCCATGCTGGACCATTATCACGTTGTGTGATACTTGACTTGAATGGAATACTTGACTGAATAATAATAATATTAATAATGTAATAACAATCAGTTTCCGTGGTGTAGTTGTAAGACACTCGCCTGGCGTTCCGCAAGCGCTTTGTCATGGGTTCGCATCCTGGCCGGGGAGGATTTACTGGGCGCAAATCCTTAACTGCCTTAACTGTAGCCTCTGTTTAACTCAACAGTAAAATGTGTACTTGGTTGTAACAACGATTCTTCGCGGCGGGGATCGTATTCCAGGGACCTGCCCGAAACGCTACGCGTACTAGTGGCTGTACAAGAATGTAACAACTCTTGTATATATCTCAAAAAAAAAAAAAAAAAAAAAATTGGTTTATAACATTACTGTGGATATGACTGCAGTGATTACATAGGTGTTTGTATCTTTGATACGTCACTAATTACGCAGAGAAGCAGAAGCAACTAGCTTGAGTTGAACCACGTCAGTACAATTAGGGGAACAGATGGGTTCGAAGGGTAGAAGTGATCCCGCCTGCATCTGTAAATGTAAGGCCGGCAGCTTTAGTGGACCCGGCCGGGCGGAGAGACCGGCCGGCCAGCGGGTCGAGACTGGCTGGCATCAGCCCCTTATACGGTGGTGGCCGGGCGAGGCGTCTCCACACATTCCTCGCCGAAAGGGCACGGACCCGCGAATAGGCATGCGCTTGGAAGCTTGCTGGATTAACATTTTGTAATATTTAAAAATGCCAACGCTTAGACGTCGATAATTATTTTTTGGTGTTTGTGTATTAATTAATATGGAAGGCAGTTCAGTTCATCACACATATCTGGTGAAATAGCGGGCTGAAACTGTCATAGTTCTCTATTGGAGGAGAACAACGTTACCAGAGGCTCCATCCTCCCTTGGTCCAGCTGTGTACGTTGTTGCTGTTTTAGATTCAGTTACTCTGAATCTCGCGTCCAAATAGCACGGGCTATAGTGAGCCCGTAATTGAGTTCGGTTATTCACGATAACCTTGTTACTGTGATATCTTGGTCAAAATTTTATATGAAGGTAGAGTTTCCTTCTTTTCGCACTGATTAAATCTTTTGTGTTAATAACGTTATCTTAGTGGCGGATATAGATGTACAATGTTCACTAGTGTGTACTCATTTTCAACTGCCTTTTTAACTATAGTAATCGCTGTTGATTTTGCATTTAATGCAGCTGCTTTTGTTGGTTGAGTTTGATGCGCAGGGCTTCAGTTCCTTCACATTCCAGCTGTATAGGTGTGCCGGGTCAGTCCTCTCCGGACACCACAACTGCCATGCGGACATGAAGGATTATTACTCGTAGATGATGCTTGAGGAGACCACAAGTACCGTATAGGAATCCGAGGAATACGGTGGCCTTGCCCTGGACTATATCCGATCCTATCTTAGTGACAGACACCAATGTGTAACCATCAATGATACAACCTCTTCCACTCTACCAATAACCGTTGGAGTGCCACAGGGCAGCATCATAGGACCTCTTCTATTTCTTATATATATCAATGATCTGCCTAATGTCTCTAATATTCTTAAACCTATATTGTTTGCTGATGATACTACCCTCATCTATTCAGACCCCAACCCACATACACTAAGTAATGTTGTGAATAATGAATTAAAAAAAAGTCCACTTATGGATGTCAATTAACAAACTAATACTAAACATAGAAAAGACCTACTACATCTTATTTGGAAGCAAATCATCGAATGCAATTCAGCTACAGATAGACAACATTAACATCAGTAATAAAAATGATGGCAAGTTTCTTGACCTATTCCTAGACAAGAGACTCAACTTCAGCACCCACATTCAACACATAACTAAGAAAGTCTCTAAAACAGTTGGTATACTCTCCAAAATAAGATATTATGTTCCTAACTCTGCTCTCCTCTCACTATATTATGCACTAATCTATCCCTATCTTAATTTTTTTTTTTTTTGAGATATATACAAGAGTTGTTACATTCTTGTACAGCCACTAGTACGCGTAGCGTTTCGGGCAAGTCCTTAATCCTATGGTCCCTGGAATACGATCCCCTGCCGCGAAGAATCGTTTTTTCATCCAAGTACACATTTTACTGTTGCGTTAAACAGAGGCTACAGTTAAGGAATTGCGCCCAGTAAATCCTCCCCGGCCAGGATACGAACCAATGACATAGCGCTCGCGGAACGCCAGGCGAGTGTCTTATCACTACACCACGGAGACTGCTCTAGAAAAGCTGTCAAACTTTTGCCTCATTTAAAAACAAAACCAAAAAGTACCTAATTTCATCTTCGTAGTTTCCTACACTGAGCTTTAAATTTGCTCTGTATCTAGTGTTACCCAATCTCCCAATCTCTATGTACTTAATTCAAACAACTTTATCATTGTGTTCATTGCTGTCTTCTTTATGTGCTAGCCATATGCTGTATTGTGCCTGCGAAGTTTTGTTAAACTACCATTCAAGCTGTCATTGCAATCATTCTGAGCTTCCTATGTGCTTTAATATACCTACAATTTTTCTCTCATCTTTTATTTTTTTTCATGCTATGTAACTGTTATCATTTTTATAAATTTTGCAAGTATTTACCTACTTATAAGTTTCTTAGATTAAGGACCTGCCCGAAACGCTGCGCGTACTAGTGGCTTTACAAGAATGTAATTACTATGCTATGTATCCTCACAATCCCAATGTACCTTCTTGTATATAAATAAATAAATAAATAAGTATATTTATTTATTTATTTATATATCGCCAAATCGTTTAACAACTAGGTATTCATTCACTACTGGGTGGACAGAGGCTACAGTTAAAGATTGGCACCCGGTCAAACCTCCTCGGCCAGGATACGAACCCAGTCCAAATCGCTCGCGAAGCTTACCACTGCACCACGGGGACAGCTGAAACCTTATTAAGAGTTAGTTGCTACCATCCTGCCTCTGCCACCGTTGCTGCCTCTGCCAACTTCGTTGCCTCTGCCAACTTCGCTGCCTTTGTCACAGTTGTTGCCTCTGCCACCATCGCTGCCTCTGCCACCATCGCTGCCTCTGCCACCATCGCTGCCTCTGCCACCGTTGCTGCCTCTGCCACCATCGCTGCCTCTGCCACCGTTGCTGCCTCTGCCACCATCGCTGCCTCTACCACCGTTGCTGCCTCTGCCACCATCGCTGCCTCTGCCACCGTCGCTGCCTCTGCCACCGTTGCTGCCTCTGCCACCATCGCTGCCTCTGCCACCGTTGCTGCCTCTGCCACCATCGCTGCCTCTACCACCGTTGCTGCCTCTGCCACCATCGCTGCCTCTGCCACCGTTGCTGCCTCTGCCACCGTCGCTGCCTTTGTCACCGTTGCTGCCTCTGCCACCATCGCTGCCTCTGCCACCATCGCTGCCTCTGCCACCGTCGCTGCCTCTGCCACCATCGCTGCCTCTGCCACCGTCGCTGCCTCTGCCACCATCGCTGCCTCTGCCACCGTTGCTGCCTCTGCCACCGTTGCTGCCTCTGCCACCATCGCTGCCTCTACCACCGTTGCTGCCTCTGCCACCATCGCTGCCTCTGCCACCGTTGCTGCCTCTGCCACCGTCGCTGCCTTTGTCACCGTTGCTGCCTCTGCCACCATCGCTGCCTCTGCCACCGTCGCTGCCTCTGCCACCGTCGCTGCCTCTGCCACCATCGCTGCCTCTGCCACCGTTGCTGCCTCTGCCACCATCGCTGCCTCTGCCACCATCGCTGCCTCTGCCACCGTCGCTGCCTCTGCCACCATCGCTGCCTCTGCCACCATCGCTGCCTCTGCCACCGTTGCTGCCTCTGCCACCATCGCTGCCTCTGCCACCGTCGCTGCCTCTGCCACCATCGCTGCCTCTGCCACCGTTGCTGCCTCTGCCACCATCGCTGCCTCTGCCACCGTCGCTGCCTCTGCCACCATCGCTGCCTCTGCCACCATCGCTGCCTCTGCCACCGTTGCTGCCTCTGCCGCCATCGCTGCCTCTGCCACCATCGCTGCCTCTGCCACCGTCGCTGCCTCTGCCACCATCGCTGCCTCTGCCACCGTTGCTGCCTCTGCCACCATCGCTGCCTCTGCCACCGTCGCTGCCTCTGCCACCATCGCTGCCTCTGCCACCGTTGCTGCCTCTGCCACCATCGCTGCCTCTGCCACCGTTGCTGCCTCTGCCACCATCGCTGCCTCTGCCACCGTTGCTGCCTCTGCCACCATCGCTGCCTCTGCCACAGTTGCTGCCTCTGCCAACTTCGTTGTCTCTGCCACCGTCGCTGCCTTTCTCACCATTGCTGCCTCTGCCACCATTGCTGCCTCTGCCACCATCGCTGCCTCTGCCACCGTTGCTGCCTCTGCCACCATCGCTGCCTCTGCCACCGTTGCTGCCTCTGCCACCATCGCTGCCTCTGCCACAGTTGCTGCCTCTGCCAACTTCGTTGTCTCTGCCACCGTCGCTGCCTTTGTCACAATTGCTGCCTCTGCCACAGTCGCTGTCTTTGTCACCATTGCTGCCTCTGCCACCGTCGCTGCCTTTGTCACCATTGCTGTCTCTGCCACCGTCGCTACCTTTGTCACCATTGCTGTCTCTGCCACCGTCGCTACCTTTGTCACCATTGCTGTCTCTGCCACAGTCGCTGCCTTTGTCACCATTGCTGTCTCTGCCACCGTCGCTACCTTTGTCATCATTGCTGCCTCTGCCACCGTCGCTGCCTTTGTCATCATTGCTGCCTCTGCCACCGTCGCTGCCTTTGTCACCATCGCTGTCTCTGCCACAGTCGCTGCCTTTGTCACCATTGCTGTCTCTGCCACCGTCGCTACCTTTGTCACCATTGCTGTCTCTGCTACAGTCGCTGCCTTTGTCACCATTGCTGTCTCTGCCACCGTCGCTACCTTTGTCACCATTGCTGTCTCTGCCACCGTTGCCCCCAGGCCAATCGTCAGCTAGGTACCAACGCCCACGTACAAGCTGGCTAAGAGACTCAACTCGCGGTTGGCATTCTACGTACCGAGTGCATTTAGCCTTAGGTCGCCGAACGAACTCGTTGACTTGTTGAGAGGATCACGGGCCGCAGGTGTAAGAGCCTCCCTGGACGTGGAGTCTAATCTGAGGATTTCAATTAAACCTTATTAAAGTGGGGATAATGCTGGTATTCACTGTTACGCAGGACAGCGGGTCATACAGAAGGCAATAAGTCTAAACTGTAGGCTGAAGCACATGTATATCATGGTTACAATCAATGTTTTAATGTATGAATATGTGAAAACAACTTTCACATGTTCATACTGCCACACAAGGGCAGGGATGGGTTCATAAGTGATGCAGCTTAGAAGTAATATAAATGAAATTGTTCTTCATTCTTTAAAATGGACAAGCACATTTTGGATAAATTGTTAGGATGTCGTCCAGAACACCTGAGTCAATGAAATAGTTACACGTTGGTGGTACAAGAGGCCAGGAGGTGTAAAGTCCTTTACGGTTTCACATTCAACAATATAGTGTGTTTCACATTCAACAATATAGTGTTCTAGTGAATGCATTAAAGATTTATCACAGAGTTTAAAATCTGAGTATTCTGGTAGTGGCTCAGCCTCACCAACCTGCCAGATGTGTCTATAGCCAAGGAGAATTCGCGCAATGACTACATCACATTGCCTGGTCCGGTTACTGTGCTGACCATACAAATACCTATTATTACAAAACTTGTCATAACTTTTAATACTGCAGCTTTCAGGTCTCTGGGCATTTCTTAGTTCTTATAAATCTGAATTAATTTCTTTAATTTGTATGTTTCTAATAACTGCATTAGATAGTCCAAAGTCATAATCAATGTTTTCTTTCCTGCAAGCCTCATTGGCCCATCGATCTACAAAGTCATGTTTTCCAACTGTAACATGGGATGGGATCCACACAAACTTTATACAAGAGTTATTATCATTGGCAAAAATTACATTCCATTTAATATTACAAGCTAGTTCAGACATACATTGTGATGGGTTATTTAAGGACTGTAGAGCACTTTTAGAGTCACAGAACATCATTCCACCACCATTGAGCTTAAGTTACTCAGTGGCTAGATAAATACCCAATAGCTCAGTCTGTGTCGTGCTTGCCCAGTTGTTCAATCTCTGTGTACTAGACATGATCATTTCATTCCCTTTATATACTGCACATGCACAACCTGTTCTACCAGTACCTAACTGCACAGAGCCACCAGTAAAGGCGTAGGATTCAGTCTGTTTGAGATTTTGAAGATGACTGTCAATAGCTTCTAATGTTATACATCTCATAGTTTCAGTGTTATACATTTGTTTTACACTGATGGGAGTATAATGCAGAGAGACCTCCACATCTTTCCAAGGGGGAATAGAGTGAACAGTTTTATCAGGGTTAAGAGACACATTCAGTTTCAGAAGATTATAGGCACAACAACTGAGCCACACACTGTAAGGAGCTTTTTGCGGCGGATTGAGGGAACAGTCAAAATTGTTTAGAATGGATCTCAATTTAATTTGAATAGAGCTGGGGGGACCATTATTTTTCAAAGTTTTGGCGCAAAACATAGTACTAAGTAGAACTATTCTTTCGTGAATGGAAGGTAAGTTTAGTTCCTTTCTCATGTTAACAATTTTGACAGTTCTAGGACAACCCAGGATGATGCGCATGGCATCATTCTGTACTACATCTAGGCCTTGTAATTGTTTAGGAGAAAAATTAAGAAGATGCAAGGCATAATAATCAACAAAAAAACGTATAAAGGCAATATAAAAACTTGGCATTTTAACACCGAAATAATTGATAGATACAATGTCAATAGAAGATTAGACGTCAGTGACGTGCTGCATATCAAGAAATCTAGACCAGCCATCAATAACCAGCTAATACACAGTACACTCTACCCTCTTCAAGACTCCGGGCCAATGCAGAAGCTGGACCGAGCATATATTATGTTAATGCCAAATCCTTTGCCCACAAGAGTTTTGAGAGGTTTAAGACGCTCAACAAGTTTTTTTGCACAGGTTGCTGATGAGATTCTGAGCACATATTGTTGTTGTTCTTGATGTTGATTCCTTACACTGGAGTATGCAGATATGTTGTTGAATAGGCGGTAAAGGAATAGGCAGGATCTCCTTGCCTTAGCGAGAGATTTCCGTAACAACAACAATACAGATAAGACCTCCTTATTTTAGTTAATAATATATGTAGTCTAATATTGTAGTGAATGTCTACTAACCAATAATTTATATTGACGACTATATATAAACCATAAGCCCCACAAAATGTGTAATTTTCAATTTTGTGTAAGGGAAGCGATTTGTGGGAATTTTAAATCATTCAGTTCACTTTAAATATCAAACAGTTTGCTATCGAAAAATATAAATTAAAATATAAATTACTATATAAATTAATATATAAATTAATATAAACTAAATAAATATAAATCTCACAGGTCAGTTTCCTTACACTCGTTGTAAATGTCTAAAGTTTCTGCTGTTACCTCTAAGTACTTTTGTAAATATACAATGGCGCAAGTAGTCGGTGAAAACGTCATATGTAAAAATAGATCATACTTACGAAGCAAATAAATATAAAAAAGTCAAGTTATATATACAGATACTTAAAGTGAGACGGGCAGGAGGCAATTAAGAGACTCTTAGCTGTGCGTCAAGATCCCGCGCTCAAGTACAATGGCTGCCTCCTGCTTAAGTATCGTATAATGCGTATTTAGAGGAGTGACTAATGCAATATGATATCTTCAGGCGAGGGTACATGATGAAATTAATACAATAATTCATATATAACCTGTAAGATAAAATCAACTGGTTCGATACCCGGTCAGATAAAAATTTTGTGGCACGTTTCCTTCGTTACTTAACAATATATTGGTCCCTGAGATTTAGGAAACTATTGTGGGTTGCATCCTGGGGAAGCTTCCTGTCACCGAGAAAGGAAAACAAATGCGGAGGTGTACTGAGGCAGCATCTTGAGGCGTTGGTCACACGTCAGCAACACTACTAATTGGTGAGGTTTCTTGTATACGTCTTCGGGAGCTGTGACATATTGATTATTACAGCTTGGTGGTGAGTAACGCAGCTCCCTCGCGTCAACCACCACTCAACACGCAAGGAAACCCTCAGTACCTGACTCGGCCGACCTTGATGCCCCGGGCAGCACTCTCTCCCAGGATGATCTGACACTGACGAAGCAGCTCAGGTCGACTAGTTTAGGCGAGGTAAAACACACTGATGGCCAAGCACGCTAACACACAAATGTAACCCCACAAGTGTGTTGACGAACGTTGCATCTCCAGGCTGCAGGTACTCACCTATTTGTGCTTGCGGGGGTTGAGCTCTGGCTCTTTAGTGGCTTTAGTCCCGCCTCTCTACCCAACTGTTGTTGATTCAGGGGCGACGACGATCCTGGAATCGGGTGCGCCCTGGAGTACCCGTAAAGGGTTAATCGCGAAACCCGGAAAGGGTGAATCGACAAGCCAAATCGCGAAACGAGTGACGCCAATCACTAAAACTAATATGCCTCGCGAAAAAGAAACGCAGGCAGGCAGATGATTGGGGAGCCCCAGGAGTCCCTCAGGGTGACAAGCACCGGCCCCGCCCCACACAGGGAACACCAGGTAGCAAACCAAAATCTCGGCCCCCAACTAAAACGCAAAAGTCATCTATTGCCCCCTAGCAGAGCAGAAACCGGCCTCCCACAACGGCACCTGGAGCCCACCAAGACCCGCCAACCCCCGGCACCTCTCGGCCAAGCCGGCGCCGGACACCGTCACCCCGCCGGGAGAACCAGCCAGAACACGTTAAAAAATAAAAAACAATAAAAAATATCAACAATCCCGTGACCCAAGGCGATATGTGCGCCAGGCGTCGTACAAACCGGACCGTTGAAGAGGAATGCCAAACGGCAGTAACAAATCCAAAATCGCAAAACAAAATGTGAACCAGCGGCTCCCAGGAGGCGTCCAGACGTCCGCTCGGCGTCAAGGTTGAACCAGACGTCCCCTTACTCAACTGTGGCTACGGGCAAGTAAGCATTTTGTTTTTGTTGTGTTATCTTGAGCCAGGTGACCATACAGTGTTGCATGCTGCTGACTAAACTGACGTGATCTGCCGTAGCGGGGTGTTGTGTATTGGCTGAGTCAGGTGGCAACATAACCCCTCCCAACAATACGGGGGCAACATAAGTATAGCTAATACAGGATAATGGTATTGTTGGTGGCCTTGTGCTGGCGATAATAATGTCGCCTCCCCTTATTATGTCCGTATGTATTCCACCTGCCAGGTGTGTGCGTGTGTGTGTTCCACCTGCCAGGTGTGTGCGTGTGTGTGTTCCACCTGCCAGGTGTGTGCGTGTGTGTGTTCCACCTGCCAGGTGTGTGCGTGTGTGTGTTCCACCTGCCAGGTGTGTGCGTGTGTGTGTTCCACCTGCCAGGTGTGTGCGTGTGTGTGTTCCACCTGCCAGGTGTGTGCGTGTGTTCCACCTGCGAGGTGTGTGTGTGCGTACCCTATAAATTCCTCTGAGAATCTTGTATGTGGTGAACATGTCCCCTTTAACTCTTCTGTCTCCCAGTGACGTGAGGTTTAATTCCCGTAGTCTCTCCTCGTAGCTCATACCCCCTCAGTTCGGGTACTAGTCTAGTGGCAAACCTTTGAACCTTTTCCAGTATAGTCTTATGTTTAACTAGATATGGACTCCTTGCTGGAGCCGCATACTCCAAGATTGGTCTGAAATATGTGGTATACAAAGTTCTGAAAGATTCCTTACACAAGTTTCTAAAGGCCGTCCTTATGTTAGCCAACCTGGCATATGCCGCTGATGTTATCCTCTTGATATAAGCTTTAGGGGACAGGTCTGGCGTGATATCATTCCCCAGGTCTTTCTCTCTCTCTCTGACTTAAGTATTTTATCTCCCAAATGATACCTTGTATCTG